CTACAATTAATTACGTTATGTGACCAGCAGGGGTCGCTAGGGGGTCATCCGGGCTTTTCCTCCTCCGTAGATCTTCCTCGCCGCTCATGCCGGCTGCGTTCGGAGTTCGACCAGCACCGGTATTTGCCCCCTGCGCAGCACCGCCGGTGTATATATCCAGCATATATACCAATTACTGATGTATAAATTGAACATTTTAATGTGGTTTTTGGAAAATGAATAAAAATGTATGCCAGAAAATTATAGAAGGTCAGTGAAGGCTCAGGAATTCCATTATAATATATATTTACTAATCATCTCCCGCAAGAAAGGTATCTGCCATTAATGTTCCAATGGAGGTGAAAGGCATCTGCCATTAACGTTCCAGTTATGCTCTCTAAAATGTTATTCAGTGGCCAGAATCCACTTCACAAATCAAGGAAAAGTCATGTTAGTCTTATTTAATGAGATTGTAACCCACCAAGAGTCTTTTGATTGCCATAGGGAGAAACTGAACAAGCAAGCAATAAGTAAATAATAAAAATATTTACAAAAAACAGCTGTCCCTTTTGGAATCGTGAAAAGGGGATATGTACAATTGCATATTGTAAATGCCTTGTTTTATTGTGTCTTAGGTGAAAATGCCAGATGTAGAGTTTTTTGTGAATTTGGGAGATTGGCCATTGGAAAAGAGGAAGTCTTCCCAGGATGTCCATCCCATATTCTCCTGGTGTGGATCCAACGATTCAAAAGATATTGTAATGCCGACTTACGACCTGACAGATTCTGTGTTAGAAACAATGGGGCGGTAAGAATTTCTCTAAAGTTTATAGGAAGTCATTAAAAATGTTACACACTTTCAAAGCAGGTTTCTGATTGTTGCTCTTATGGACCGTGGCCTAGGCAGCCTAAACACAAGATACTCTCATCCCTGAAGCAAGGTAGGGTCTTTGTTTTAGCAAAGGTAAAGGTAAAGCAAATGAAAGGGTTGTGTAAGAGATACTTTTCTCTGCAGTGGTCAGTGATAGAGGCACCAGTGAAAGGGTCCCAGTTTCACCACAGGCCTTTCATCACATGCCCAGTTCAATGCTGTCTTCTCTTCCCAGGTATTTGCAGACAAGGTGTAGGGGGAAGTTTTGTTTGTGTTTGTTGTGAAGCAAACACTCTACCTCCTTCAGGGAAGCAGCATCAGGACAACAATTTCCACATATAACTAATGCTGTGCAATCCACTAGGGGTGTGCAAAGTATTTTGAATTTGAAAGAACCCCAAAGCCTTCTAGAGTGGTTGGAACAACCCATTTCAGACTTGAAACGATTGTTTTAATTCAGAAATCTTGGCACTCTTCTATAATCTGCCTTGTGGTTTCTCCACAGCTCTCTTCCACTGTGAAAGAGACCTCAGTTTTTCTAACTTACTTTTTATACTTGGAATTGGTAGAGGTGCTGTTGTAGGTGTTGTTTTCTGTTACTTATTTTTCCATTATGCTGAAGCCTCCCTGACTGCCCACCCTTCCCAATCTGGAGGAAGCCCAGTGGGAGGATATAAGTGCAAGAATGCTAAACACTGTTCATGGCAATTTCATTAAAAAAAAAAAATTACCCTTAAAAAAAATGAAGGCAGAAGTCATCAAACTGAATGAGAGTTTGTAGAAAAAATAATTCAAGAGAATTCTTCTGCACTGTATTACTTATAACCCTCCCAAGTTTTTCCCTATTTCTTCTGTAAGGTGGAAAAAGTGAGATTGCTCCATAATTTTACGGATGCCTCTAGGATCCTCCATCTGGAAACTCTTTTACCTTCCTTTTACCAAATGTTGGACAGCCTGGGTTAGATTTTAAAACAGAAGTTCTTAGCCTGGAGTCGACAGACCCCCTGAGGGTCTGTAGATAGATTGGGGGAGGGGCATGACTTTGGAAGGGAAAAAATTGTAACTTTATTTTCGCTAACCTATAACTGAATGTTAGCTTTTCACTGAATAATGGATGCAGGCAACCAAGTAATTTATGGCCTCTAGGCTCCAAAAATGTTAACTTCAATACATTTCAATATCTAACCTATCATTTAGGTTATACCCTAAAAAGGGTATTGTTTTGTTACTGTTTTAACAGATTAATAAAGAAGCACGTGTATTATGTAGTACGTATTTGTTTTTTTTTAGTATTTGGATAGGTGAGCATGATTGGCTTCTGTTGTAATAAATCTGTATCTATAGAGTTTATTTTATGCATTTAAATATACTATTACGTCTCCCATTGGGTTGTGTAACCCAATCCATGGCAGTTCTCCTTTAGTCAGAAGCATCAAAGGATGTAAAGGAGCAACACTGTTAATGGGGAAAGTCTACCTCCTGCGTGTAAGACCTTCCTGAAACGCAGGCACAGATCTCTCTTTCTTATGAACATTTTCCCCATTTTTTTCCCCAAGAGTCAGCCTGGACATGATGTCTGTTCAAGCAAATACTGGGCCACCATGGGAAGAGAAAAACACTACAGCAATCTGGAGGGGTCGTGACAGCCGAAAAGAGAGGCTTGAACTTGTGAAAATGAGCCGAAAGTTCCCAGAAATCATTGATGCAGCCTTTACAAACTTCTTCTTTTTCAAGCATGATGAAAGTCTCTATGGCCCAATTGTGAAGCATATTTCCTTTTTTGATTTCTTCAAGGTGCATATATCAACATATGTTTTTCATTCTGGCAGACTTTATTACAAAAATATATTGGAATAGAATCAAATGTTGCAAGCTTCCTAGATCTAGTGGTACTCTCAGGGCTGAGAGGGCTTCTGGGGTGCATAGGGGGATACATTTTTTTTTCTCCCTCTTTCTCCAGTCCCTTCTTTTCCTCTTTCTTTTTCCCCAATCCCATCTTGTGAAATAAGTGGGAATCAGCAGCAGCTATGATTTGCCAAAATATCTTTTAGCAATTTCTTTATGGTGTGGCTGCCTGGAGTTTTATTCCTCCATAATCCACCTGTTCTGTGAGAAGATTAAAAAGAGAAACTAAAATATTTCAGCAGTTGCCATAGTTCTTTGGGTGTCCTGGTTTGTGGACCTCTGAACCTACACCTGCTGTTACCTCCTTAAGGGCACCATTCTCTTAATGAAGGTAACCATCAAGGTTATTATCCATTTCTGCAACTTGAGACTGCTTCTAAACAAACAATACTGCTCAATAGCTAATTTAAATAAAAAATGCAATACAGGCAATAACAACTGGGGTGTTATAACCAGCTCAGAATCTATGACAGTTGAACCTCTAAATGTTCAGGCCTTCTTGATATCCCTTCAGAGTAATACCCCACAGAAATCTCTGGCAGATGTTGGTATTTAGAGGGCAATACTTAGATTGGGATTCAATTCTAGTTACCCCAGTTGTGCAACATGTTTCTGCCCAGTTCCTGGTGGTTCCATGCTGCTAAGTTATGTCATGCTATCATACCAGTACAAATAGTAGAACATAAAGTACATCTACATAAAAGTGTTTTGGGGGATCTGTGAATGGGAGAAACAGCAATGCTATACTATATTACTGATGCTTTAGATACAGATTTCTTTAGTTTTACAGATAGTTGCGGTTAGTAAAGGTAAGGATTTTTAAGACCAAGAGCTAAATTTTCTTGCTCTTTGCTCAATAACTTGCAGTCCTTTCAGATGTCGTATTATAGCTCCCATCATCTCTCATTATTACCTTGCTGTCAAAAACTGATAAGTTATAGGGCTGAACATTTAGAGGTCCACATGTTCCCTACCCTGACTTAAAATGTAATTGAACCACTACTGTGAAACTTAAGCCTTACTTACAACGTGAAAGATAAAAATTCTTTTGTAATAAAATCAACTCTGAGTTCATAGATTTCTACATATGCTGTGGACTTAAGTTACATTTAAAAGTATAACATAAAAATGTAGCATGTGAACACCACAGATGTGTTTCCTATTCCTGTGCTAAAGAATACAACAATTGGCTAAAATTTCTTATTCACTGCACATCCAGTAGGAATTTCAGGTCTGATACCAAATAATGTGTGAAATGGCTCTATCT